TTACTTAATCTGTTCCGCCCAATAAAACTCTCCTAAATCTGAAGCCCAGCTTTAAACACTAGGATATGCTATGATCTACTATGATTTTCAACCACGCACCCCCCCTCCCCCAACCCCTTCCCCCCAGCTGGTCATGCCAAGCGGCCTTGCGACATGGCAGGGCCGACAGAAGCTGGCGAAGGTTTCGGCCAGCAGGGCCCGCCCTTCCTCCCGGCAACTTACAGGTGCTTAAAGGGTTTAAGGGCTTAGGGTTCAGGGTTTTCAGCGTTTAGGGTTTAGGGGGAGTGGGCCAATGAATGTAGGGCGTACTGCGAGGGTATATATAGGAGCCACTCCCGCAATCTCCCTTAAGCACCCGTAACGCCAATACATGCATCCAATAAGAAAGGGATTTTGGTTGCCCGGGCCCAAGAAAGAGGGCCCTACGACTATGATATTATGACTCTCGCTGGGCCCTGATCATAGGGATTATTGCCGAAGAGGCAGCGGAAGTTAGACCGGCTTTCACTGCCCAATACCCCGATAGACCTCAAAGGTCATGGGAAGTTAGACCCCCATTTTGATACCCCGCACTAAACCCCAAACCCCAAAATCTTAAACTCTCGTTGTGTCGGGTAGGGGTCGGTCATGGTCCTCACAACAAACCCTAAACCCTAAACCCAGGGGGGCTTGTGCAGAAGTCCTGTTTTTCGCAGAGAAGAGCTTGCTCAATCAGCATCCTCGGCCCCGACACTAGGTCAACAAGTTCCCAGCAAGCCTATATGAGCTATAATCGGGTCATTGTGGGGAGTTTCCGTTTGAATTATATAGGGATTATGTAGGGTTGATAGAGGGTGTAAGGTTTAGGGTGATATGGGTGTTTCCCAAAATTAGGGGTAAACTCCACAGAGGCCCAGAAACATCAGCCCGTCAAACCTAATTCTGTCCTAAAACGCGTCCAAGCTTCTTGCAAATCCGGGCGTGCGGGGGCAAGCGGACTTCGGAAATGCTGTTGACACTGTCTTCTACAGACTCCCGCACATTGTACATCGCCTCAGCGTTGTCCATTGCCCCTAGCAGTGCGTGGTCCAAAGGCGTCCTGTTTGGACAAATTCGAACACTTCGAGGGGGTTATGGGGGGCGGGTTCCCATAATTAAGATCCTATTTTGGTACCCCTACGTAAATATCCATAAGTTTTAGGTGCTGTAATGTCATTCAGACCCCAAAAGGGGCCCATAATTCCGAGAATAACCCATTATAGTGGTTGTAGAGGGGATATCTAAGCTTACGGGCTAAGGTTTAAGCCTTTATAATCCTGAATTAATTAAGGCCCTTGTAGGTGTTTCTCAATAGTACCTACACTTGGGGGGGAGCTCGTTTAGAGTTTAGGGTTTAGGGTGCCCAGTCCTGTGCACGTGCATGGAGATGTACTTGCCGCTTCGGAAATCGTCCACGTCAGCTGGAACGTCCCGGTTCCCGCAGTTTACCGTGATCCATTCTACCTGAGATTGCCCGTGGCGAAGCCGACTGGAAGGAATGCTCCCCCGTGTGGGACCCACGGAAATCCCACAGAAACCCAACCCTCTTGTGGGACCTGTGGGGGTTCTATGGGGGCCCAATCTTGCTCACGGTTGTGTTTTGGTCCCTAGCATAGAAGGAAGGCATTGAGAATGCAGGAGGGTGTGCCAAAGGGCTTCTTCCAGTGAGCCTCAATACCCAAATTCCAAAACCATAAACCCTCGATACTCAACCCAAAGCCCAGGCGTGGTCCCAAGCCCTAAACCATACCCATACTCGACTTTTTTCAGGATACCTAACTTTATGTCTGCTATAATACACAAAGCCAAGTGCCCTGAAGAAAGGGTATGGTATAGAGGTCCAGCTAGAAGCAACCCCCCAAAAGGGTCATCAGTAAGCGGGCCCAAGGTCGTTGTAAAGAATAGGGTTTACGTAGAGGTCTACAGGCAAGAGCAGCCAAAATAAGGTCATCAGTAAGCCCTAAATCATAAAGCCTAAAACCTAAACTGCGCCCAGGGTCTTTGTAATTGAGCCTTTCGCAGGCCCTGGCTTCCATCACCCACTTCCACAACTTCACTTCTGGCGCGATGAAGTTTAGGTTTTAGGGTTCAGGGTTTAGATTTAAGGTTTAGAGTTCAGGGTTTAGGATTTAGGGTTGAAAATTTGGGTTTAGGGGAGCCCTTGGGGACCCCATGAGAATACCCAGGGATTTAAGGGACATTGCAGGGGTTCGAGAGGGTTACATGGGGATTATTTTGAGATGGACCCAAGTTTCGAATTAGGACGCCAAGCCTTCTTGCCACCCTCAACCCTAACCCAAACCCCAAAACCCATCCCTACCTTGAAAATTAACACCCCCGAACCATAAACCCCCAAACCTAAAGCCTCAAACCTGAAAGGTCGGACGTCTAATTCATCAAAAAGCCTCCAATAACCTTCAGCACAAAAACCTGAATATGGGCATTGCTTGACCCTAGACCGGTAAACTACAACACCAATAATGAGAACACCAACTGTAGCACCATCTTCTTCAGATCCTGAGCCACAAAGCTGTTCAAAGAATATACGTTAGGTGGACCCCCCACCCTGTAATAGTGACTATGGGGGATAATAAGGAATATATTAGGGTCCTCTTATATTCCTATTATAGCACTATTACAGGGTGGGGGGTCCTCCTAAAATATACGCAAGTAAGGGCTACAGCAGCCAACGGTAAGATGTCCTCAAGGCTCAGAACCAAACACCTTGTACAGCCCAAAACCCTCCATAAACCCTGCCCCTCAGCAGCCCTAAAACTTCAACATTAGAAACCCAATAATCCCTAACTCCTAAACCCTGAACCCTGAACCCTCTCCCTGACCCCACAAATCTCAAAACCTCACCCTAAGCTCTAATTATATCCTGCGCCCTAATTTGGCCCTAAACCCCAAACCACCCTCCAATCATCACCCCTTCTACCCCAAACCCTACATACCCTAAACCCCAAACCCGCAAGAGTCCTGGATCTCCGTCTTTTGGAGATGGCTCGTCCCATTTGTCCTCGCCTTTAGCTGGCCATCGGAAGCCATCAAATCGCTCAGGCCGCTGAAAGCACACGCCTTGGGCTTAGGATTTATGGTGTGGGATTTAGGGCTAGCGCGTTTAGGATTTGGGGTATAGGGTGTGAAAGATGCCAGTGGCCTTCATGGCCGGCGCGTGCCCGCCATGCTGCTACGTGTAATCCTTTATAGCGGATGGTGGGTGTGTGGGCATCAAGTATGGTGTTCAGAACGGGTTGTAGTCTTCACAAGGAGAGAGGCATTTAAATTCTAGCTTCTGCTACGTAGACCCCCAAAATGAGTCCATAGTGGCTTTCATATAACCTCTATATGTTCCATGATGATTACCATAGTCTACCTCTTAGATCCCCTTGGAGGTCGGGTGGAGCTCCTTCAAGGGAGTGGTCTATGATTAGAGTTTAGAAGAAATTGCAAGACTATACTTTTTCCGCTCGCAGACCCGATGCCAGTCATGTAAGGCAATCGTAATGATTCATCTCCACCGAAACTGGGTTTCTTCTTGCAACAGGTTCCCACCTTCAGGCGTGCTCATACGAAGGAATCAACGAAAACTGTCTTCAAACATGTGGCTATGAGCGTCCATGTAGCCATGTTGGTATACACTCGGGCGCCAAAGTAGCTATGTGGTCAAAACTCTGGATTCCCACATGACCGCCCCAGCACGCGCGAAGGTAGTTGCATCTAGTTCAGCCAAGGCACGTAGAGTGGCGAACTCTGGGATGTCCTCCTATGTGTGGGAGGAGGAAATATTGCACGACTTGAAATCCCCAATCCAATCACTTGCCCTAATGATGAAGCCCCCTCATCCTAAACAAAGACGGTTGCCCCAAAGTAGGATGGATGTTCCCCCAAAGTAGAAGGGGGGGGTCATTACTGAGGGTGGCGGTACGGGGCTGTAAGTAGCGGAAGGGCACCGTTGTAATTTCTAGTGTTTTGTGCATCTCCCGTTACACAACTTTGCAAACGCTGTTGGTGTGCGGGTGTCGTTATAACTCATATTCGAACAATGGGCCATCGCAATATAAAGGCCCCAGGGGGCCAATATAGTTCCAACCTTTGAATGATAAGCGATCTACAGAGTTTAGGGCTTCTATGTAACCCTAAACCCTAAACCACTAAACCCTAAACCCTAAACCCCTAAACCCTAAACCCCTAAACCCTAGACAGCGGCTTCAGAACTCCATCCATCTGACCCAGGGGCTTGAGCACGTCCAACGCTGAGGATTGACCAAGCCAAAAAGCAACAACACTCGCTTGGCCCCTTTCCCTAGGGCTCCATGTCTATAAATAATACCTACATTGGGCCCCAAAGTCTATAAATATGACCTCATTGGGCTATTTGGAGCCTTCGGGTTTTAGAGGGGTGCAGAATTGTACGCTCTTGTGGCCCCAGTTGTGTAATAAGGTATTTTCACTAGATTAACCTTACCGTTTTGCGGAATTATGGGCCCGAAAAGAATTTCGCGAACCCAGTGCATCTGTCCTGTCGAAGCCAGTACACGTCTTCTGCCGGCGAGGCCATCACTGCATTGAAGGGCTCTCGTTCGGCTTTCTGACAGCAGAACTCCGGGAAAGGTATCTGCGTCACATTGTAAACCTGTCGCGCGCAGAATTTCTCACACAATTTGCAACCTTGCATGGCATAGCAGTATCGGGGTAAGAGTCCTTCGGTGGCCCAAAATCCTAGCCCTGAAAATTCCCAATCTCATCCTTCGTAGTTTCAATCAAACCCCATCATTCTGCTTATAGTCCCTTTTGAATAAATAGAGTATGGGGTATACGGGGATCGTATCATAATATACCTAAAGCCATAGTCTATCTACTT